GGCTGGAGTGCAATGGCGCGATCTCGGCTCACCACAGCCTCCACCTCCTCCGCCTCCTGGGTTCAGGCAATTCTCCTGCCTCAGCCTCCCGAGTAGCTGGGACTACAGGCACGTGCCACCATGCCCAGCTAATATTTGTCTTTTTAGTAGAGACAGGGTTTCACCATGTTGACCAGGATAGTCTCGATCTCTTGACCTTGTGATCCACCCACCTCAGCCTCCCAAAATGCTGGGATTATAGGCGTGAGCCACCGCGCCTGGCCCATGAATTATTTTTAACGAAGTATGATGTTGGGTGGCATATAGTCACTGCCTTAAGATTTTCAAAGAAAAGCAGCCCTTTGAAGTTGATGGTCCTGGGCAGGTCTTTCAAGGAGTGGGATGTGATGGGCAGTAGAAAGGTATTCCAGGGAGGGGTAGCAATGTGAGAAGGCCTTTGAGGCTGGGGGGAACAAGTGTGTCCAGTCCCACCAGGGAGACAGATGTTCAGGCAAGTAATGAGAGCATGGAGGAATGGCTGCTGGGGTGGTCCTTGGCTCCCAGCAGGCGAGGTGGGACATCCATGGGAGGACCCTGAGAGGTCTTCAGCTGTCTCTCTGCCACTTGCACATCTGCTCGGTTGCCCATCAAGACTCTTAAGACAGTTTTTATTTTAGCTATTCTTTGAGAGCATTGAGATTCCTTTTTGAGATGAGTTCGGTATGAAAAAACTGGCAACTCATGCCTGATTGATTAACTGGGGGTATTCCCATTGACATCAGCTTAAGGAAAGATGACAGAACACTGGAGACAAAGGACTTGTAGCCTCCTGCTCTGTGGCCTCTCTTCACTCCAGGGATGTCACCTTGGGCTGGAGACTGTTGGAGGAAACCCCATGAGGTGCAGGCAGTGAGCCTCTCAGGACAGTGACCTGCGGACCCAGCTCCCCTGGAGGGACCTCCTCATGGTAAGTGAATGCCAAGAGGTTAAGTCAGCCTGTGTTTCCAAAGTGGAAATTCCAAGCTGCTGACTTCATTTGACTTCTCCTTTAGATTGTTTGGGGTTGATCGCAGATACTGGCATAGCCAAGAGTGATGAGTGATGTCACCCCATGACGCATGGCCAGACCTTCTGGCCCCTGTTGCCTCCAGCACAACATGGATCGACTTTTCCCTCAGTGTGAGTGGGCAGAGGAAAAGCCCTGTGGCTCTGGAGACTTGGGGTCCAGAGTTGAAGACTCTTCAGCTGGCTCTGCTCTGCCAGTGCCATAGAGACCCATGACCCAGAAAGACTGGTTTTCTTCCATCTAGGCCAGGCCATCCAATGGCCATCCTCTGTGTCCTCCCACCTCCACCTGGTGTGACTTCTGAAAACCAAGAATTTGGTCCTGTTGACTTGTTCTGTGCTTTGGACCATTGTCCTCTCACCCACTTAATAAATCTTGAAACATGCCCTGCTACTTGTTCTTTCATTTGTGTGTGTGTGTGTGTGTGTGTGTGTGTGTGTGTGTGTGTGTGTTTGTGTGTGTGTGTGTGTTTTATCAGTATCTCCATGTGCCAGCAAGGCTGGGTGTAGAGAAAGTGGGTCACAAGGGCAGTTCTTCTGATTCTCACTCATTGAGACTTTCCCCTTAATACACACCTAGGGGAATGTTCAACTGGGGTTGAACCATAATCCCAAGTGCATCTGGGCGTTGGGTGGATTCAGGTTTAGGAGCGAAGGGGAACATTTGAGCCAGGTCTTTGGGAGAGAAACTATGATGGAGTGACTTAGAGATGGAGGCAGGGGCTGGAGTCCTTGAGAAATCCAAGTTCCCTGAGTTCAGGTGGTGGATTGCAGGTGAATGGATTTAGGAGTTGGTTTTGAGCAGAGGAGACAGTGGAGTGTATGAGGAACAGCTGCCTTTGGAGAGCTGGGGATGGGGGACGGGTGGCAGGCAATGCCAACTGTTGGGGCTTCTGTTAGAATGAGATAGGTTTGGTCTTTGGGGATTATCTTGGTCGCAAAGATCGCAGTGATGTGCTCAGTGTGCATGCATATCACCACCTGCACATGTTACTCTTTCGTCATTTTTCTGGAGTATTTAACACACAGGAATGCTCCCAAAGGCCATGGTAAAAAGTTGGAGTCAGTTGGTCCCATTGCTTCAATTGAAAATAGAAATCACTGTGACCAAGCCGGGCATGGTGGCTCACGGCTATAATCCCAGCAGTTTGAGAGGCTGAGGCAGGCGAATCACTTGAGGTCCGGAGTTCGAGACCCGTCTGGCCAACATCGTGAGACGCCCCCCCATCTCTACTAAATACAAGAATTAGTGGGGTATGGTGGCAGGTGCCTATAATCTCAGCTACTCAGGAGGCTGAAGCAGGAGAATTGCTTGAACCCAGGAGGCTGAGGTTGCAGTGAGCAGAGATTGCACCACTGCACTCCAGCCTGGGCAACAGAGTGAGACTCTGTCTCAAAAAAAAAAAAAGAAAAGAAATGAAAAATCACTTGTGACTAGAGTTGAGGGAAACCAGGTTGTCAGTCACCTCTGATGACCTCTTCCAGCAGGAGACACTCAGGAGCTGAAGAGTCCACTCTGCCAGCCGTTTCTGGCGAGGGAACGGCTGCGTTGCCCTTCTCCTTAATTCCTACCCAAGGACCCCCTGACACCTCCCATTTACTCTCTTGAAGATTCCCCCCCAACCTGTCGCAGCCCCTCTCTGGCCAGTTTTATTCAACTGTGGCCCTTGTCCTTTAGTGAGAAATGACCACATTCCCCCACAAAGGAAAGCGGGCCAAAGTTCTCCCCTTTTCTGAGTCCACTATTTTTAGTGAAGTTTTACACTGGTTGGTGCCTTGAATTGGTAGACCTGTCTTAGCAAACTGACTGACCCCTCTCATTGCTAAGCAGGTTCCTGTCAGCTAATAGGACCAGTGTCTACACCCCACTCCCTTCTTTAATTTCTCACCTTCTCTCTCTCTCTCTCATGGTCTTCTTGACCCACTACATCAATCCTGCAACCCAGGGGTCTCTTACACCTGTTTAGTTTGTTCTATGGGAGGTGACGGTGTTAGAATACTGAGAAACAAGGAGAGAGGCGAGATTGCCACACTGGGGGAAAAGAGTGTCAGCTATAGAGATATCCACTTCCTGTGGCTTGGCCCCTTGGGATAAACATTTCCTTACTAAGCCAGACTGGTTGATTTGTGGAGGGTTCCCTCACTTATTACCCTATTCTCATGCATCTAGTGGTTGCAGGCTGGATGTGAAGGTCGGTGAAGTAATGTGTTAGAAGCTCTTAGCATAGCACTTGGCACACAGGAAGTGCTGATAAGGACAGCTCTTCTCGCTCTTTGGAACTTCCTTTCCAATCGTAAGTGGTCCTCATTGCTGGCCCAGCCTCTTAGGTCCTTCTGCCCTCTGCCACCCTCACCCGACCCTGCCTTCAGCCTCTAGCCTGGACTTCCCGTTCTCCTCACTGCCTGTGGCCTTCCTGTCCACCCTTTTCTCACACAAGCACCCCATGCCTCAGCCAGCCTTCTGCTTAAGGCTCCTGAACATGTTCTTTTCCTGGCCTGTGTGCCTGGAATGCATCCTCTGCCTCAGGCTCGGCTGACTCAGCCTGGGTCACTTCTTTCAGGAAGCCTTTGCCTGCGGAACCTCCACCCAGACTGGATTCCCCGCCCCTCCTTCCATTCATATCAAGCATCAGTTCTATGCAGGCACAATTCAGGAACTGGTAAACAAAACAGGCAAAAAGAGCAAATCCCTGCTTTGTACTTAACATTTTAGAGGGCAAGGACAAATCATAAAACAAAGTACTAAAATAGGCAGAATGCTTGAGAAACATTAAGGGAAAAATAAAGTGGGGAAACAGGATGTTTGGGGACCAGCAGAGGGAGTGGCATTTTATTTATTTATTTTTTTTATTTTTATTTTTTGAGACAGAGTCTCAAAGAATACTATCATTTCAACATGTAATCAATATTAAAAATTATCATTATTATTATTTTGAGACAGAGTCTTACTCCGTCACCCAGGCTGGAGTGCAGTGGTGCGATCTTGGCTCACTGCAACCCCCGCCTCCCAGGTGTCAAGCGATTCTCCTGCCTCAGCCTTCTGAGTAGCTGGGATTACAGGCACGCACCACCATGCCCAGCTAATTTTTGTATTCTTTTTTAGTAGAGATGGGGTTTCACCGTGTTGGTCAGGCTGGTCTCAAACTCCTGACCTCGTGATCCGCCCACCTCGGCCTCCCAAAGTGCTGGGATTATAGGCATGAGCCACCGCTCCCGGTGGGAGTAGAATTTTAAACTGAGTAGACAGGAAGTCCTCCCCAGGGAGGTGTGATTTGACTAAAGTGAGGAGCTCTCACTGCTGGGCGTTCGCTGCAGCCTGTGCAAGCTGCCATCACCACAGGGACCACGGACAGTAGGAAGCTTTTCCCTTGGATACCAGGCCCAGTGAAGTGGGGAGACAACAGGCATCTGAGGCCACTACAATGCTGCTTCTAATTATGAACGTCTCACATGAACGTCTGACCCTGTTGTGAGGGTGGCAGCTGAATCAAGCCAGGATTAGCTGGTCAGCACCTGTCAGCTCCCTATCCCCCACACCTCCAACCACAGCTCAGTGGTCTAGGGAAGCTCAGTCACCCAAGGACAGCCTTGATAGGCCTAACCCATCACCTCGGTTCAGGACTCATAGCAGTGATCACCGAGCCCTGCAGTTTTCCTTCTGGGAGAGTTCTGCGTGTCAAGAGACAGAGTAATTGGTTGCAGAAACAGGAAGAGACAGAGCAATTAAGTCTTAACAGCAGCACCTAGGAGCACAGAACATCAAGCTGCTGTTGCAAGTGAGAGATCTGTTTCTAGAACTCATAGGTGGAGAATGATATTCCAGTTTCCAAACCACATTCCTGCTCCTCCAGGCACGACTGTGACCAGTATTCTGACTTGCCATGAGGCTTGGGTGTTCAGTTTTTTCTGAATTTTTATAAGGTGTGGCCATGTGACCAAGATTCCTCTTCCTTTTTTTGTTTTTTTTTGAGGTGGAGTTTTGCTCTTGTTGCCCAGGCTGGAGTGCAATGGCATGACCTCAGCTCACCGCAACCTCTGCCTCCCAGGCTCAAGCGATTCTCCTGCCTCAGCCTCCCAAATTGCTGGCATTATAGGCATGCCCCAACCTGCATGGCTAATTTTGTATTTTTAGTGGAGGCGGGGTTTCACCATGTTGGTCAGGCTAGCCTCGAACTCTTGACCTCAGGAGATCCACATGCCTTGGCCTCCCAATGTGCTGGGATTACAGGTGTGACCCACCACGCCCAGCCTTCCTCTTCCTTTTTAAAAAAATTTTTTTTAAATTTATTTTTTGAGACAGAGTCTTGCTCTGCCACCCAGACTGAAGTACGGTGGCATGATCTTGGCTCACTGCAACCTCTGCCTCCTGAGTTCAAGTGATTCCTCTGCCTCAGCCTCCCAAGGAGCTGGGATTATAGACATGCGACACCACACCCAGCTAATTTTTGTAATTTTAGTAGAGATGGGGTTTCACCATGTTGGCCAGGCTGGCCTCAAACTCCTGATTTCCAGTGATCCTTCTGCCTCGGCCTCCCAAAGTGCTGGGATTACAGGTGTAAGCCACCATGGGCAGGCTATTTTTAATTACTGATTTATGTATTTTAAGACAGGTTTCACTCTATGCCCAGTCTGGAGTGCAGTGGTGCTATCTGGGCTCACTACAGCCTCAACTTCTTGGGCTCAAGCAATCCTCCTACCTCAGCCACGTGAGTAGCTGGCACCATCAGGCCATGCTAGTTTTTGTATTTTTTTGTAGAGATGGGGTCTTGCAGTGTTTCCCAGGCTGGTCTCAAAATCCTGGTCTCAAGTGATCCTCCCAAATTGGCCTCCCAAAGTGGTGGGATTACAGGTATGAACCACCACACATGGCCTCTTTTTTTTTTTTTTTTTGAGAGAGAGAGACCCTAAATTCACTGCTGCTGTGCCCATTACTAAAGGGAGCAAAATGAGCCTTTTCTCGTTATAGTGAAAAAGCATACCAACATAATGCCTGATGGGTGGAATGTGCTCAGTCAACATTTAGGGATGAGGAATGAGGCCAGCAGATGCCTCAATAGTGTGCACCGGAATGACTCATGCAGGCCCCTCTGCTTCTGTGGCCACAACTGATGACAGGTGAGCCTGGTGAAGTCATTAAGAATCTGATGTGGCTGGCAAAGTGGCTCATACTTGGAATCCCAGCTACCCAGTAGGCTGAGGTAGAAGGATCACTTGAGTCCAGGAGTTTGAGACCAACCTGGGCAGTATAGTGAGATCCTGTCTCTAAAAAAAAATTTTTTTTAATTCTTTTTTTTTTTTTT